CGACATTCAGACCGGACTTACACGCTACATTGGGATTGAACCGTGCACGACATTCAGAGATCAGACTCGGGTTGGACTTGGTTACCTCTTATGTCCCTCCCCCCTTCTCTCTCGCATGTCTATGGATCTCTCCCTATGTGAGTGAGCGGAAGGGCAATCTTCCTAATGTCCTGCCCTTCCGAAGTTTCTCCCTTTCCTGTTGTTGTCCACGTGTCCTCTTGGTTACTATTATTCCACTGCGCTGTTCCCCAGCCCATGATGATGATGATGCAAATGTGTCGTTGTTGTTTTTCTCGTTGGTTTACTGTTGCATTGTGCACATTGACATCTGGTGAATGTTGCATCTATGCTGCTGGTTGTTGCCACTTTCATCATTGCTAGATCCTAGGCTGTTAGTGCATTTCACTTTCTGATATGCTACACTCTCTCTCTCTCTCTCTCTCTCTCACACACACACACACACACACACACACACACACACACACACACACACACAGGACCTGGACTGATCCGAGCTGCCAACGGGTCCTTCTGGGCCGGTGGTCCAAACCGGCCACCGATCTGAAAAGCTTCTGATCGACCATCGATGCAGGGCAGGAGCCTGCCTCTATGCAGAAAATAGACATGCATTTCATGCCATGGAGTTCACAGGGACCACCAGAGAGTTGACAACATTCCTCCGTACTGGAAGTTGACCATTCCTCCAAACCAGAGAGTTGACCACACCTCCCAGACCAGAAGACCATTCCTCCAAACCAGAGAGTTGACCACACCTCCCAGGCCAGAAGACCATTCCTCCGGACCTGAAGAGTTGACCAGTCCTCCAGACCAGGAAGTTGACCATTCTTTCGGACCAGAAAGTTGACTGCTCCTCCAGACCAGAGGGTTGACCACTCCACAACATAGAGTTGAGAACTCTGCCAGACTGGAAAGTTGACCATTGCTCCACACCAGAAAGTTGACAATTCCTCCAGGCTGGAGAGTTGACCCTCCTCCAGACTGGAAATGTATGTGCCCACCTGAGAGAAGAAAAACAAAACAGAAAGAAAAAGAGCTGCAGTAAACTTGGCTGGCGGAGCTTGTTCCATTCCTCCCCACGGGCCTATCGACACCACCAGAGAGTCTACCATTCCTCCAGATGAGAAGGTTGACCCTTCCTCCAGACTGTCAATGTCCACCCTCACCCGAATCACCCGGCAGACTCCAGCGCACGGAAATTTCTTTGGAATAATAAGCCACGAGTTGTCAAGAGGTTAGACCGTCATTTCTGTGTTTAAGCCGACAGAACAGAACAGGCAATTTGAAGAACAGTTTTCCATCGAGCAAGTATCGAACGGGCCGCAGCCAGGCCAGTAAATCGAAATAATGGCCTCCGCATATACACGTGAAACGGTTTTCACCTTTTAGCAGTAGCGGATGCAGTACCCAGGGTTCGATCCCCAGACCTCACCCTACCCATGTACAGTATCTGTGTAGACCCCGAGAATCGAACCTGTGACCTGTGTATTCGTAGGCAGTTGGTAGGCCTGTCGTAGGTCCATAGGCAGCGGGGGTTCGATCTGTAGGTCTATAGCTTAGGAGTCTTAGTGAGTTCCGGAAGCTTAGCTGTAGACCTTCTAGAAGGTAGGCCAGTGGGCAAGTGGTCAAGTGGTGAGGCAAGTGGTGGACTA